CATGATACCTCACACCATTTTTTAATTTGAATTCTTCTAATCACCACACATTCTTTTCCCATTTTTATGCATGATATCTCTGCCATTTTTTTTTTTTGATTCACATATTTCTAATAATTCTGAATTCTCTTTCATGCACGATACCTTGCTAATTTTTTAATTTATACACTTCTAATAACAACTACATGGTTTTCATCACATAATTATGCTTTAGGCGTCAGTTGAATACATGTTTGACTTATTCGTGGGGGCTTAGGAATAATAACTTCTTCTAATAACTATTATATAATGTTTTTCACGTCAGTCCAGTTGGCATGCATGACTTCTAATAACCATTATATGATGTTTTTCGTGTCAGTCCGGTTGGCATGCATGCTTCTAATAACCATCATATGATATTTTTTGCGTCAGTCCGGTTGGCATGCATGACTTCTACATTTTATGATGTTTTCGTGTCAGTCTGGTTGGAATGCGAATGCATGACTTATTAGGCAAGGCTTAGAAAAAATTATTCAAAAATCATGCTATTCGACTTTTTTTAGCTATTCACTTCGGCTTAGTAACGAATGGTACTTTTATTGAGAATAGTAGATCTGAAATATAAAAAAACAGTTAGTATTGATCAAGGCTTTACGAGGGTAGCCAAAAAAGGTTCGACTAAAATCTGTATTTAGAACAAAAGCGGGCATTAATAATCGAATTTAAGAACAATACATGCAATAGCATATACGCATTATTAAAAATATATGTACCATCATATTCAGTAACTTAAATGCATGCACCTTCAATATAGAGGTGGCTTATCACTTAAAGTCGAAATTTTAGATCACAGTTAAATAATGCGGTTAATAAACGTGTTATTGATAAATGATCAAGTGAACGAATATTACATCATTATAGAATAACGCCCTGGGGCATTATTTTAAGGTATACAATGTCTAAAGAACTAAGAGTTAATATAACAATAGTTTTATTTTTTAAAAATATCATAGTTCTCCGAAAATTGTATGTTTCGAAATAGTGACCTTGGGCAGGGATGTCACGGAGACAGCATTTGGACAAAGTTTGGACATCTTGAACATTTTAAATAGTAAAATTGCTCAAAATTTTATTATAATAACCTATTTCAAATTTCTAAGTAAGAATTAAATAAAATATATGGGCCGTGATCTAAGAAAAGTGACGAAATTGACAAAAAAAAGATCTTCAGAAAATCAATTTTTGTATTGTAAATCTTATAATAAATTATAGGAAAATGCAAACTTTAAAAAGTTATACTGCAAAATTTTATTAATACAACTGCTTTTGTATTTTAAGTGAAAAATGATTCTAATTTTATTCTAAATTGATTTATGTAAAAAAATATCTTTTGAACAAATTGTCAATTTCGTCCCTTTTCTCAGATCACGGGCCATATAATCATGTTTCTTTAAAATAGATTAATTATCGAAGCTTTGATGAGCGTTGGACACTTGGATATTTGGATGTTGAACATGTTAAAAAAGGTAAAAATATACATCCCTGACCTTGGGCATTATTTCGCACAAATGCAAAATAGAGTACAGGATGAAGTAATTTGTAATGAAAGTAAAATGTTAATTAAAAAAAAACCCAATATTTGGTAACAGCCAATCATATCGTTGCATAACCACGTGGTTATTATTTAGATCACATGACAAAGGCATGCCTTTTTGCTCAAGGGCATGCCTCCAGGCATGCCTTCCAGGCATGCCCAATGTACCCCTTTTTCAATATCCCCCTTGCAAATACCCGGTGCAAAACACGAAACCTATAGGTTTTTTTAAAATTTTAGACTGCTTATTGAAAATGCAGAATACGTATAGGCTCGAAATTTTTCTTGCGACACAGATCCGTTACAGCATAATATACCCGGATCTTTTGTAAGTTTTTTAGTGGTTATTTTGGTCAGTGCACTACGGTAAGTGCAAAAGTATCAAAAATGAAAGTTTTGCGACTCTGCCCAATGTGAAATTTATAGCATAATTCCTCATCACGTGACTGTAAAGTACATGTTTATATAATACGCGATTTTTGTAAACAAATCAATAATGATACGGCATTGATTTTGATGATTTTGTTTACGCAATAAATACTTTCTTTGACATCTACTGCAGGCAATTCCCTTTTTTTAAAATGGATAACGTATCATTTAACGGCGAAATTACTGGATCCGAAAGGGCCAAAAAACGAAGGAGAAGTAATGAACATTCAGCAAAAGAAGGGGAAAAAGCAATCAATATTCAAGTTGTTGTGCGTTGCCGTGCAAGAATTGAACGTGAAGTCGCTGCAAATTCGCCAATTGTTGTCCAAGCTACTCCCCGTGAGATTAAAGTTTGGGCTAATCCTCAAGACATGATGCCGTATAAAACCTTTACCTTCGATAAGGTTTTTGGGGCAGACGCGGATCAGAGTCGAATATTCGATACCATAGTAGTTCCTATATTACATGAAGTTAAAGCTGGATATAACTGTACTTTGTTCGCATATGGACAAACTTCGACTGGCAAGACTTTCACAATGGAAGGAAAACTTGACCTCCATAATGGAAGTATTAGTCCTGATGCCGGTGTTATTCCACGCTCCCTATATTATATATTTGATACTTTGGAGGCTGAACAAGCTGATTTTTCGGTTAAAATATCTTATATTGAACTATACAATGAAGAGTTAAAAGACTTGCTTTCTTCAGATAGTGATAACCGTCACTTAAAAATTCTGGATGATGCAAATAGAAAATGTGTCCTTCATGGCCACGAAGAAGTACTTATAAAAAGTGCCGAAGATGGAATAAATGTTCTGAAACAAGGCTCGATAAAACGTCAAGTTGCTCAGACAAATTATAATAAGAATTCTAGTCGATCCCATTCTGTATTCTGTATTACACTTCATATTAAAGAAACGATGCCTGATGGTGAGGACCTATTAAAAGTTGGGAAAATCAATTTAGTAGACTTGGCAGGGTCCGAAAACATTAGTCGAACTGGCGCTGAAAATCTTCGTGCGAAAGAAGCCGGAAAGATCAATAAGAGCTTGTTAACGTTGGGACGATGCATTAATAGTCTCAATGAACATAATCAACACATCCCATATAGGGAAAGCAAGTTAACACGTCTCCTGCAAGATTCACTTGGCGGTCATACAAAAACTTGCATAATTGCGACAATATCTCCAGCTAAATTAAGTTACGAGGAAACGATATCTACACTTGATTATGCTCAGCGTGCAAAGAATATTCTAAACAAACCTGTTGCAAATCAACGTGTCACTAAAAAAGCTTTGATCAAAGAATATATAGGTGAAATCGAACGTTTGAGAGCTGATCTATTGGCTGCTCGAGAGAAGAATGGAATATACTTGTCGCAAGATACTTACCAAAATTTAGTGGATGAAAATCAAAGTCGAAAAGATGAAAATGAGGAATTGAAAAAGTTGAATGAAAGTCTAAAAGAACAAGCTGAAAGATTTGAACGAGAAAATTCTATTATTAATAGAAAACTTATGCGTCAAACTTCTATTAATACTCATCATCAAAAAGTGTTTCAAGAATTTCAGCAAATGATGCTATCTGTAACATCACAACTAGAATATAAATTTAATGAAATAAAGTCTGTACATCTTGGATTTGGGGAATTGATATATAACAAGATGAAAGAATTTATGGAACGACGCGAAACTGAAGTTTCGGCTATTATTAAATGTATCGAAGAACGTATTGATCGATCTATACAGCAAAAAGATCAGATTATTCAAATATTTGATAATCAAGAGCGGATCTCCATTAATTTGAGTGCTGAACTATTAAAATTCCGGGAAGAGACTCAAAACCTTATGGATCAAAAAGGCCAGGAATTGCGAAATAGTGCATCTGCGACGTTCAATATGTTTCAGCATGAATTGTCAAATCAATTCGAAAAGATACGATCGTACCAAGTAAAACTCGGGGAAGACTTATCTTGCTTGATGAAAACTACGCAAGAACATATTGCGTCCCAAAATCATGCAATCACTTCTTTCCGTAGTTTCACTCGTGAAACATCCAATTCTCAAATCGATTGTATGATAGAACAAAAACATCTTTTGGCGCAGCTCGCAGAGGAAGATGTTTTGTTGAGAAAATCAATGGAGGAAGAAATTTTAGCAAATGTGCTAGAAACACTTAAAAAATACGGTGATGCACATTCGGCAAAAATCAAAAATGTCATTAATACCGTTCAGGATACAATTCAAAAGAACGTTGATTCTGTTAAATCATTCAGTGAGGCGTGCACTAATGCTGCTGATGGCATGAATACAGCGAATACTTCTTATTTGACCAACTTTAATAATAAATATGGTGCTTCCAAAGAAAAATTGTTAGCTATAGAAAATGAAAACCGGCTAGCACGCGTTGATACCATCGAAGATAACATATATACTCAATTGGGCGAATGTAAAAATGCGCTTGAATCAAAAATAATATCGTTAGATACATTTGCAAGTGCTACTGTTAAAGAGACGTCGGAACTCCAGAAACAACATGCCCAGTCCTTCAATTCGTTTGCCACAGATGTAACTCAAGGTTATTCCGAATTCCAGAGTCAATTTATCAGGACACGAGTAGATTCGCAAAACATGACAAAGAATGCATTTGATTTGAATCAAGCTAATGTGAACGCGACTAGCGGTTTATATATCAATTTTGCTAACCAAATTCAACGGTCTCGTGAAGAAATCAATTCACTATCAGAAAAATTTAATGATTCTGACACTAAAATCAGAACTCCTACAACAAAACGTACTCATTTTCTCAACATTACAAATCTTCCATAAATGTAACTTTTTACAAATAAATAATATTTTTATAACAATTTCAAGTGCAATTTTTTGTTATATATTTACTTAATGGTTCAATTTAATTTTTAAACTTGCAATATCTAAATATGTCATCATTAGAATATCATAAATAAGTCATCATTAGAATATAAAGTGGAGTCGAATTGTCACTTACTTACTATATTGGATTTATGATCGAGGAATCTTTGTCTCCAACTATTTTTAGATACCCTAATTTTAATAATTTTTCGATAGTGGGATCGGCTTTCCTAACAATCGCTTGAGTTCCTTTCCGAAATTCGACATATCCGTTTTGTGTCATTAAATCACCTAGATATTTACGATTAGTAAAAATAATAACACACCCAAAGACTTAAAAATGGCAAATATGTTACCAATATCCTTAAGCACTCGAACAGCAGTCAGAGCTTCTTTGGGGGGTACTAGAGTAGCAGACAAATTAAGCGAGGGTGGATATTCACATTTATATCTTCTCAACAAATCGCTATATTTTGAATGGAAAATTCTTTCTCTTTCAGATAATTTTAATCTCGTTTCTTGAGACAGTGGTAATTCTTGAATTGCAAAGAATTTGATTTTTTCGGATCTTTGGGAATGATAAAGTTTTAAAACTTTTAAATTGTGATTTTGAACGAGTTGAATTAACAACTTTGTTTCTATAATTCAAGAATTAAAGTTTTGGGAAACATTATAAGAATTTAATTTTTATCAGAAATTGAAATTAAAATATTTAATCACCATCGTCAGGATTATTTAGGTCGTCGAGACTTGGATTGTTTAAAGATTCAATGTGATCTTGTAAAATGCTTATTTCATCAAGAATTTCACGAACTTTGTCTCCTTCATAAAGTGAAACATTTTGGGTTTTTCTTGTACGCTTTGCTGTATCGATCAATGGAACTGCGGTTTCACCGAACATTCTTTGTTGAGACTTTTGAGAATATATATTGACGCGACCAATATGTCGATATGTTATCCGAAAAACGCGCGTTGTTATGCTGATATTGGATCATAGTGAAAAATCCATTTGATTGGTTGTTGATCCTTAAAATTTTATTGGCTACATGTAATAAACTTTTTATCAGACACCTCAAAAAAAATCGAGGGTAAAATCGCCACCAAAAAAGTTTCAAGTAAAAATTTCGTGTTTTTAGGTTAGAATTATGATTTTGCCATTAGATTGATGTCTAAAATAACAAAATTTTACAAAGAAAACTTTTAATTATGCGCAAAAGGCAGCGAGTGATTTTTACAAAACGAACGTTTGTTCTGAATTTTCCCGATCGTGTAACATTACCAATTATTTGTAATTGTTTACATATCACCATCTTTTTTTAAAATAGGACATTTCGTTTAGGGTTAGCGTTAGGTTTAGTGGGCGAAGTTATACCAAATATTTTGCAAGAAATTTTTTTTGCTAGTGCGTGAATGGTAGTGTTCCGAAAGGACCGGATCGGACGGATATTTTTAAAGATCCGAACCCGATCCGAAAAACCGAATCGGATCCATGTTCTGGATCCGAGTCCGTAAAAAGTAGATCTGGATTCGATCCGAATCCGTCTCAAAAAAAGAAAAGTCCGAAAAATTACTGCTATTTTCATAATTTCTGGAACACCTGATAAAAATTGACCGAATGGTACTCCAGCCGATTCGATTAAGTT